ATACCTTTAGCGAATATTCCAAAAGATTTTCTTTGAATTTTTCTGCTGATTTTTCTAAACCTGATGGTGTGACAGTCTTTCTGATCTTCTCGATATCTCTGCTTTCTATGAGCTTAATCAGYGGATCMTTGTTAACTTGCTSGTTTTCCGACTCGTTTTCGTTCTCCGACTCCGACTCTGAATCCAACATGATGTTTTATTTCTTTTCTTTCYCACTAGAACACGACCTAAAATTGAAAATGTGCTGTGCTGTGCTGTGCTGTGCTGCGCAATATTTATCAGGAGGGGGGTTGAGAAATGAGCAAAAAAATGAAAAGAATGACATCCCCCCTGAATTTATTCATTTATTATTCGTGAAGACTTACCGCAAACCGTGGCACACTTTTCTTGAGAAGTTTATTAATCTGACACCATTGATTTTTCAGTTTCTAATTAAAGTTCTAGTTAATTTTATATGTTGCCCCCCTATTTAATCACACAAAATTAGAACCCTCACCCCCGTCTGGATGCTCAACCCCCTCCCCCCCTCTAGTAATTTAAGGCGCATTTATTTTTTTACAAGTCTTAATTTATAACAACTGACTTGGTCGTTCGGTTTGTCAGCGGCTATAAGCAAAACCACAATAATGTTCTAGATAACTGGTTATGCTTTAAATTTGCATTTTAATTGACAAACTTTTACAGTATCTTGATTTAACATTTATTAAAATGAAAAAATAGCCGTGAAGAGTCAATTGAAGAAGTTCTGACCTCAAAATTAAAWATATATTTCAATGCATAAGGCAGTTGATCATATCTAAAATTTACACCTTTTCATTGTCATAGCATTATCAGTGCCGATTATATTATGTTTTAATAAGCTTCATTGAGCAAAACTTCAAAAGTTCATCTGCATTCTGAATATTTGGATAGTGGTTTTAGCTAGAAAACATCAACAAAGATCTATTAAAATTACCCTTGATGCACCCAAGACAATGCTATGTGTTGGCGGTTAAAATTATTACGTACAAATGATTACGAATTCTCACTGACTGTGTAATGACATGCATCATGGCATGGACACAACACAGTCACGGAACGCAAATGAAAATCTTGATTGAAAATTCACGACCCCACTAGCTAAAGAGTAGTAGTTTCTGTACAGCATCTGCTCTAAAAAAGGATATTATATTTTGTCTTCGATTGTTCGATTGAGTGAGAGATTTAATTTGAACACGAGAGACGATAATGTTCCTGATCTCAAGGCGATTTTATAGTATTCTGTTTATCATATGATTATCCATTGAATAAAGAATGTTTTTTAAAATAAATCTCCAATATATAGTACCACATCACTTTCGCAAACTCTTTTCACTAGTGAGTGACTATATAACAAGATTTCGAAAGTCAGAAATATAAATGTCGTTTCATGTCTCGTAATCAAAGTTTAACTTTAGATACTTACACAATATGAGAAAATCAAAGAAGTACTCGTGACCATATATGTACAATATTTGTAAATAAGCAAATGATGATCGCACTAACCTTATCAACAGTTTTGCTCCAAGTAAATTGTTTATCTTATTAAGAAATTACAAACGTGTCACGTGATCACAAGCCACTAACCAACGCATACTAAAGTCTTGAGTCAACGAAGCTTGTGATTGATGAGAAACAAAACAAAGAATTGTAGGACTATGTCAAACAATGCCTATTGTTCTACTGGAAATCGTCGTGGTTTTGTCGATTTTCTGTCAAATCACACAATGTTTGTTCTACAGTAGTGTGCAACTCATAAAATCTCTCATGTACCGAATTCAATGCAAATGTGATAATCAGATACAAACGATTGGGTTTATTTTATACGCGTGAATTTGGTACCTAGTAATGCATTTATTTGTGGTTTGTGATCAATTTCAGTGGCGGATCCAGGGTTATTTTAAAACGGGTTCCAGATCAGGAAATAGATTGCTATGACGTCATATTGACGTCATGTGATGTCACATTCTGACAAGACCGTACTTAGACTACGCATGCGTGCTGCATTTCAACACAGGTAGCCCNTCATCTTTTTCGTTGTAAGTTGACTGATCATCTTTTACAAACTAGATGTATACAGATAATCAGCATAAATACGTTATGCATTAGGGACCAAGCAACCTTGCTTAATCATTTATATTGTGTTTCAGATGCAGTGCATGAATATAATATAGAAACAGCAATAGACTATTCTTGGGTTGCAGTTACGTCATCACAATTTTTATTTTACTCGCATTAAGACTGATGACATTCATGTCCTTTTAGAGAATAAAAAAACTACATAGTTTGACAAAAATTTAGGATTGTAGAGCGCTTGGCTGCGGAATTATTAGCAATCGAAGATACGCAAGATTTGGTAAAAATGTCTGACGGAAATCCCGACAGTGGACAACCTGACCACCATCTTCGAGAGTAGATAAAGGACTGCACAATAATTATCAGGAGGAGAGCGTTGAGACTGATTGAGTCAAAAGAGCTGGAAAGATACTAGTGATGTTCGCAACCCCCACACCCCACACCCACACCCACCCTGACACTTAGAAAAAAATTAACGACCGTATTATTTGACAACGGATTCTTTTACGAAACTAACTTACCACACAAAAAAGAAAGTACGAAAACATTTTGTTTCATTTTGATTTTTTTTTTCAATTTGAGTCTAACACTGTATCCTCGGAAAGCTTAATCCTTAGGCCATTTGGGATTACATCTCTAGTCTCTATTTGGAAAAAATAGTGAAAGTTGTAATTACAACGAAACTCTAAACATCGGCTGGTTCTGTTGGATATTTTGCATGTCATTCGAGGGAAGCCATGTGTTATATTGACCATTAGCATACCCGTAGTCGCTCTTGTTCGTATTTAACATAGATTCACTTGTCTCTAACGATGCTGCAGACAGCGAAAGCTTAAGTAGAACCCGGTTTATATATTCACCATGCTGCTAAAGGAGAATTTTCAAAAGAGTAATTACAACATTTTCTCGTAATTTCTTTTGGTTTCGGCATAGGCTACACAACTATTGCAACGATCGCGCGCCTCGCGTGCACATTCATTCTTTTCTTTCTCTCAAGCAATAGTTGGGTAGCCTATGTTTTCGGTAAGGTCTTTGTTCACCGGCTGTCAAATAAAACAGCGGCTATTCCCGTTGAATCCGATAAAACAGAGAGTTTTAGATACGCGTTTACGGCGATCGCCAAACGTCCAAACTGATCACGTGATCACTGTTTTTCTGTATTAACGCTCCGTTCTTTCGCGATTGTGTATAAAATAGAAACGGTATTTCTACTATTTCTACGGTGTTATGAAAATATTACCCTGTTCAAGACACACAAAAGACAATAATTTCGGGTGAAATGTATACCCTGTTTAAGACAGCAAGACCAAAAACCATACCCTGGCCAGCGGCACGTCCACGTATAGCAAATATATGGGAGTACCTCCCCGGGATGACTAGTAGGAGTAATATTCTTTTTCCTTGTAATTTATTAGGTCGGGGTAATGTAAACATTAGGTAATACCTTATAGCGGAGCTCCAAAAGCAATATAGAAGGGAATGAGGGTGTCAATGGGGTTAATAGTTAACTGACTTTTGACTTAAAAATTAGTAGTTAACTGACTTTTTGGGCAAAAAATAGTAGTTAGCTGACTAATGAAAATCGTATTGTTAACTGACTTTCTTACTAACATTTAATACAGGCGCGTAGAGTCATTTACGCATATACGCACGTGCGCACTAGTGGGAATGAAATATTAAAATTTTCGGGATTTGATGCATTTTCTATGCTCTTGATGCCCCTCAAAACGCTAAATTGCTCGTTCAGCAGCGCTATGATTTAAGAAATATAAATGATGAGTGCACTCAGAGTAATAAGACTGTTTCTCCATTTTGTGATATGCATTACGTAGGGATTGAAGAGATCATTTCATTTTGCGTCAAATTTGTTTTAACGAGTTTATTTTGTGTCGATTTTTATTACATTTTGCGTGAATTGTTATTAAATTTTAATTTGTGGGTGTTATTAAATTGACAGCTCTATTGTAAGAGTTGTACTTTTAAGTAAAAAAGCTGATATATTTCCCTATAAAATCCACACGTTTTACACAACGTCTTCAGTGAACAGCTTATCTGCTGCACATCATGAACCATTCGTACTACAAAACGGCCGGGCTATTCCATAGGCATAGTGCATTTGTTTTGTCTGGACCCAAGCCCAAGTGTCACTAGAAATTTAAAATCAGTTGAAAATGCGATGTAATATACACATGCACTGTAGTTATAAGCTTAGTCTAGTATGTTTCTTTATTTGTTTTATCTTGATTACCTGATATTATTGAAATTTCGAGCCAATTAAGTGTTCCCTTTAATTCATTACGAAGTGTATGACTAGTAGTCTATGTACCAATTACTTTGAGGAACTCCTTAAACATATCCAAATACGGTGGGCGGTAAACCAGTTTGACGCACGCGCATATAGCACTGCATAGATGATTAAAAGTTTTCTTAAACCATTGCAGTTTCGTTCCACTGTTTTTCATCCGATGGCATACTACGATAGACGTGCATAAGCAATCTACAAACAAAGAGAATATCATTTTACATGAACGACTCAAATACACTATCAGATACATGTTACTTATACATTATTATAAATATGATTTAATTAAGGAATTCAATTGAGATATATCAAGACATATTGGAGGTCGTTTTGCAACCGATGATCACAAAATCCATGGTCAGATTGATTCCAAAAAACCGCTTCATGGTACGATTGTCTCAGATCATCAACAGCTACAGGTTGGTGGAGGCAGGGATGAGTTCATAAGCCAGTCTCTTGAAGACGAGGCTAATTCATCTGCTTATCAGAATATCAATTCTAGCCGGTATTGCTGTATTAAAAAAACATGTAATCTTTGCCAGTAGAGCAAAGAGACTTATCAACGATCTATTTAAACATGAAAAGATTCCAAAACATTTGGAATTATCTGAAGATCTACTTCTTAAAGCACGACTACCAGGCCTTTTCAAGGCACATTTTCTCAGCAAAAACACAATTATTACTATAAATCTTATAAGACTGAACCAACTAAACAAAAACAAAACATGCAAAAAATGGATAATTATTATCGCATACTCAAATTCTTGGGGTATCGTGCATAAGTTATGAAGTGCCGCGCATGCTCAAAAGCAGTGTCATATATAAATGGTCTTCTGAACACTGACTGCTTTTGGAGATCATAGTAATTGCAATGTACATTTTCAATATCCTGAGCATTTTATGAATAAATATCATACAAACTAGCTTACTGTTCCATTTTCTCATTTTGACGCAGACAGATTTCTTTAATTACTCCTATTTCCTTGCTCAAACGATCCACCTCATTTTGGTTTGACAATTCAGTGTTGTTCTTGAACCCTGATTCGCCTTTTTTCACAAACTAGATGGTTAAAAACAAAGATTATTAGTATGCTATTCATCAGGGACCAAGCATCGTTTATTTTAATTAACCATTTTTGATATATAATGGCCTTTTCACAAGATGTTGGTTCTGCAAAACCAAAACAAGACTTTTGGCTAGGTAGTAACAGTTTCCACGTGTTCACAGTGTATAAAGAAAATTGCCGAACAAGTAAAAAATCGAAGGGAAAAGTTGTATTCGACTTTGTCATAAATATTTAGAATTTATCGTCGAAAGGAGTAAAGTGAACCTTTTTATAAAATAGCAAAAGATAAATCGTTATGAAAACTGTGGACGCATCGCCTAAAAAAGAATTCGACAGAAATAGACCCTGACTGAGAAATGTGAGTTTTTAGTATACACTTTGCAGCCAAAATATGATGATCAAAGCGTAACGTGATTGCTTGCACAGCAATTTTCTATATCTATGGTGAACACGAGAAATTAAAATGTTGTGACCTAGCCAAATTTGGTTCTGCAGAACCAACATCTTTGGAAAAGGTCATTAATACTGTACCCTGAATAACAGCTTGATCTCTGGATAAGCCATCGTCACAAAAGGAAAGAGGTTGTCGGGTTTTGCCCGAGCTTCTCCAACCAGTCGTCTGTTACGGGTGAATTGTACTAAATACTCATCGTCCTTTTTATCGTCAAACTTTACGTTGCAGCCGATCATGTCACCAGTGTATGGGAAAGGGTCAATTGCTTGAATGGAAGCTAAATTTAACAAGAACGTAATCATCAGTAGGACAATCATGGTAAAAAAAAACTAATTCGAAAAATCCGTGGATTTCCTTTAGGAAATATTGTCCAATGCAGGTCAGTTACTGGCACCTTATAAAATATGCACTAAACAGTTGGTTATATCAAGTCAGTAAATTAGTGAACACTAATTTACTAGCTGTGCCTACTAACATTTATGAACGTAAATATAGGCATAGCCAGTGGATAGCTTTAGTCTGATCGACAGGTCACTAGTTTTGAGCCAGACTAACGTAATACTACAAGAAAATCAGCTTTTGTAAGAGAGCTTCCATTTCCTGGCTATTCCTCTTTGTTGGTATTTCATTTGCCAGCATCTTTGCTAGTCAGTTTGGAGCATTTTTGAGACAGGATAAATTGTTAATAATTACATGATCGTTATTTTGAAATTAAAAACGGCTTTCGGCCATCATACATTTTAACTCCATTTCAGATATGTCATTACTGCCCTGCAAACTATAGCCTGTTCAATGCAGCACTGAGTTTCGAACTTCTCCCATTTCGGATATTAAAACACAATTAGAGTTATGAAGAGCATAGTGCTGGTCCGAGTTTAAACTGTTGTGCTTCCTAAAATATTTCTTTATAGTCTAAGTCTTTTAAAGTGCCTATGCATCCTTGCCAAATCCAACATATATCAAAAATAGTTATCAAACTCATAAATAATTCATAATGTCATTAGCCAATGATATACTGAGAATCTAATCACGTGGTTATACCTTTATATTGGATAAAAGGTGCAGCAAGTTCAAAGTTGGGGGTGGCTTTGAATATTTTCAGGGGAGTGCGGGGCTGACTATCATTCAACGTTTTCCTTATACAGACCTAATTAATAAACATATATTAGTTCTGTATCAGTGATACAGAACTAATGTTTTATTAATTAGGTCTGTATCAGGAAAACGTTGAGTAATAATCAGCCTCGCACTCCCCTGAAAATATTCAAAATGTCCAAATTCGCGTGTAATCAAACACAATTAAAACACACTGAAAAATCAATATTGTAGCTATGCCGGTTCGTTTCCTCGCGATTTACTCGAACGTCGGATAAGCTTCTTTGTTTTTCTTGGCGCCTCGTCTTGTATGAATTTGACCATCCAAAAAATCAACGACTCGGCGTTCATGTCATCAACACCACCAGCGTCAGCATATCCTGGAATGACTCGCTGTTTTTGAAACTGAAACTGGTGCTCCCATTAATGGCTGGCTTTCTTGTTCTCACGGTCTTTTTGCCGGTCGCAAAATAAGGTTGCGGACCATTTTGTTGAATACTTTGTGGAACACTCCCCCGAACAATAGCGCTTTCCTTTATGTTGAGTTTTAGGTCTGYTAAATCGACTCGACATGTCTTCGAGGGAGAAATGAAAGCCAACTGATTTAATTTTTGCTAACTATGAATGCCTAATATCTTGCAATTCCTTTGACCATTCTAATTTTCCATAGTTTGGCAAGCACATTCTTTAAAAACAATAGGATAATAAACAATTTTCAAGAGTTAAGTATAAAAAGCTTCTAATGTGACAATTCCAACTTTCAATTAATCATTTAGAAATTCCCTTGATAGTTCAGTCGTTTCATTAAACAATGGCGCCATACAAACAGTTATATTTGACGAATATTTAATAACGGCGACATACGGTGATAATTTTAATCGATGAAATGCAGCAAGATATTCAAATTTTTCAAAAAAATTGAAATGAGCCGTATACAGAACTCGAGAGCGTGTTGTATCGGAGCTAAAGATCCTGGCCTTCGGCTCGGATCTTTATCACCCGATACAACACGCTCTCGAGTTCTGTATACATTACATATACTAAATGATGTATCTGTTGAAAAAAAGTGAAGGTTTGACGAAATCCATTTTTTTATGAGCTGATCATAAGTGCTACAAAACCCAGCGATGCGGGGGATTGGGACTGAAGTGTCAACAAGTGTGTCAACAAACCAACATCAGAGAGCTTTGAGTGCAATAGAGAAGAGTAGTCACAACTATGTCTTGCCGATATTCAACTGTTTACATGAACCATCATAGTCTTCTCGATCAAACATGAAAATGCGTCCCGGACACTACGTCATCATTGTCGTCACCAAACCTCCCAAAGAAAGCTCAGGTTTTTCTCAGCTTTTTTAGCACAGGATGCCCAAACGAAGCTCATAATGCAATTTCAAACCGCTGTAGAATCAAGAATTTTTTTAAAAAAATTATTAAAAATTATTATTGAGGAATTTAAAAAACTTTAACTCAAAACAATTTTTTGGCCAGGATGTATAGGCACTTTAAAATTTTCATTCTGAGTTCTTCTTCACATAATAGGGAGAAGATAGCGGCTTCTATGCAAACATCAGTGGCGTACATGCACAACCATATATGGGAGTCGTACGACAGATCCTTCTCTTTTACTATTGATATTACTAACCACCGAGCTGTCTTCCAAATTGGTGACTCTCCTTGTCATGGATTCTACCGGTATCGGCGTGGTATCCAACGCTGTCTTCTCTCCATCCTGGGTAACGATTTCCATACCACTTGCTGGTTAGTCCTATTCCAAATCTACGTTTTGTGCCAGCAAATTCAATGAGAACCTGAGAAAATGGAATGATTAAATAAAACAGGAATTTAATTGCTCCTAATATACAACTGACATTAAAGCTCAGTATTACCTCGAAGCCAGGAGTCTCCTCCGACAATTTATGCTTATAACGAACTGAATGAATGCATTGTTTTTGTATATTCTCAGCTTTATCACAGTTATCACATTTGAGGATGTACATTCTCTGATTTTCCATCAAAACAGTTCGTGCCTTGTTAACGATTTCCCAATCCTGAAAATAAAATGAATTTAGAATAATTAGAAAACGAAATAAAATCAACTTGAAAAAAAAAAAAGCAATCATCACTTGAATCCCCAACGTTTCAACGATTTTTGCTCCAATTTTAACACATGGCATTTACCGATTCAATTTTTCATGACCTAAACACATGCAATCACAACGGACCTAAGCTGCTCCGATCCTCATATGATGTCATCATTAATATATACTTACACATCTTTCGTTTAATTTAGTTTCCTCTGAATAAACTTCTCTGACAATTTGCCTCAGTAATCGTTGATTCCTTTTTAATATCTTTTCTTCTGGCGATTCTTTGAAGAAATACGGAAAACAATAAACACTGATATACAGCTGATATCTGAATCATACAATATTTGAATTGATGATAGATGATTGCCAGTATTTTTAAAAAAGCAAGAAAATAACGAAAAACTGAAGTAAACACTAATGGCATAAACCAAAAATGTTAAGTGGCTAAGCGAGAAGTTTCTCATTTCTATGACCATCCACGTAAAATGAAACACCACACCAAGTTTTGACTCGTGGGAACTAAATGTGACGTTATAATGACGTCATTTACACCATTATAACAATTAACCATGCATTTTAATTTTATAAAATCCCTACAGTGCTTCGATATTATTTCTTTTATTATTGAAATGACTTGGAAGTAATAATTTTTTTTGAGTTTTTTTAATTGACCCCAGGTCTATATGACGTCACAATTTTATAGATGATGTTATAAGACAAAATTAGCAAATCAATATTCATGACCATTTTTAGTAAGTCATTCACTAGATAGGTTACCATTAAGTTCCACCTGCGTTCTTGTATTAAGGTCTGAGGAAAGTCTCATGCCTCGACTTTTCTCGAGCTCAGTGGGTTTATTTTGGTATAATTAATAACTTGTGTGTGTTATAAATCTTCAAAACATTGTATTTCTATGAGAAAAATAACCAAGAACTTCATAAATTCGCGGGAAAATTTGATGCTTTGTTTGTGAAACACGAGATAAAGTCTTCACAGCTTGATCGTTTCAAGGGTCAAAATACCATACGTTTGTTACCTGGAACATGCGAGTATTCGGTTACAATGTCGTTGTTTGCTCAATCAGAATTATCGATTTTAAATACAGGATACACTTCTAATGTTATGTAGCTAGAACTGTCTATTGGAGACAAAAAAATGAGTTTGTTGACTGTTTTCCGTGGTCAATTTGAACAGCAGAATTTTCTAGCTCGTGTTACACATGCTCCGTGGGGTGTTGCAATGGATTACATTATGTTTATACTGCTTTTCGCGGGAAACAGGGACCGATCTAAATCCGATCGATTTCGGCTGGTTTTCAGAGGAAAATCGGCAATAAATCGACAATAAATCGCACGATATGACGTAATGTGACTTAGAAACAATATGGCGACTGGATATTGCGTTTGAATGAGCCTCGAAGAGTTATTACATAATCACCGCTGGTTTCATGGCTACAATTTTGGCGTATTTTCCTTAATAACTCTTTTTCTAAATGACATTTTCAATTTAAACTTGGCCAACAACTGAAATACATCCAAAAGCAAAATCTTATCCGAGCATACCGCGAGTTTCTTCTTCGTTCGTAATTTAGAGGCATTAACAAAAAAGTGCCGTAAAAAAGATTTTTAAAAAGCGCGGTATGCTCGGATAGAAATATGCATTTTAGTGTATTTTATCGGAATCATTTTAAAAAAATTGCATTTCAGCAATTCCGAAGTAGTTTTTTTAAAAATATTCGTTTTTTCTTTGGTTGCCAAGGAAACCACTTACGCCTCTACAAGTTGGTGTGTCATGTTGTAACCTATATCACTGGAATCTCTATCTCATATGCTTTACACATATACCAGTCAAAAACCACCATTATTTAAATGTGTTATTTTAAATGAATCTAAAATGACCCCATTTTCCCCTTTCCTCAGAACTTATACTTATTTTGACATAATCTTGATTGGATATAAAATATGACATCTGTTTCTTATACATTATGTTTCGGTTAGGTGTTTGATGTCTTATAGAATTCCAATATATGTATCTCGAACATAAATAAAGTTATTATTTTTATAGGTTTTCTGTACGGTCTTGCTTAGCGTTGTGTACCCTAACTAAGCCAAGTCTCTAGTTACAGCTTGTGACTCTTTAGTTGTCAGTTCCATTTAACCCCTCCTTTTAATTTCGAATATTCCATTAAGCTGTCAGATAAGAACTATAACTTGACAGTATAACAAGACTACATAGCACCTTATTTCAGTTTCCACATTATCACCTAGGATATCCCCACGTGTCTTATACCTCGATATTGGATGACGCCATTTTCTTTCATGTCTTTGTCGTCTTCGAATAATTTGACTCCAAACCTCACTTGGCTACATCGTTATTTTGTGTTAAACTTTGCAATTTGAGTGATCATAATATCCGCCCTATTTTGATCCGCCATCTTGGATTTTAAAAATCTTTTAAGTTAAGTGTTAAGGGAAATAAAGGTCAAAATGTATGAAATTGGTTTTCTTAAATAAAACTCTACGTATATATATCGAAGTTCAGGCTCTCTGAACTGTCTCGTAATAGGTCTTCCTGCAACTGTACCAAATTGGAAGTCTTGGTCAGTGTTTTCAATGCTCAACATAAGCATCCACTGTTTCACCTTCTTATTAAAGTGCATATATGGGTTCAGCAATTTTTCTTTCAAATGAAAGTTCACGGCAGTCCAAAATTTCAGAAATTTCTTCAAATCACGGCCAAATGACTGTTTGGGTTGAAACCACACTAGGCAAAGTTTGTTTAGAAATACTAAGCGCTCCTTTTAAGCAGCCCTACTTTGTATAAAGCTCGCTGGTCTTTGTTGGGCATAGTATACAAAACACCTTTGCCGTGGCACTTAGAAGTTTTCCGTCGAAAACGCCCTACTCGGAGTCTATCTGTGACTTGATGACAAAAAATAAAGCTAAAAGAGGTTGATTTTCTTATTTAGCGTGACTATTGTTATTAAAGTATAAAAAAGTTTCATATGCGGACAGTCAAACTTGGCGAATGTTGAGAAAAGCAGTTACTCGAACTTTCTCTGCATAAAAGGGTTTCATATTCGAACGGGCAAACTTCGCCAAAAATTGAGTAGCTACGCGATCATCCCGCATTATTAGGCAAAGTGTATGAATATGGACGGAAAAACTGTATTATTATAAAAGGCTTCATTCAAGCTTTTATGGAAAGAATTCGCGTGTTTTCCTCTAATTACTCACAAATGTTTTTGCAAAGTTCGCTAACGAGCGCTAACGTGTATGTCTCGTCTCTTTCGGCGTCGAATTGCTTCTTGTCGCTGGTCGCCGTAATACTGAATTTTGTGCTAGGCAATATAGCATTTTCACGACTGTTTATGTTATCACAACTTTTGACAACTGCTATCGGACATTTTGGAAGAGGAATCGTATTCTTATGTACGGAATTAAATAGAATTTTGATAGTTTTTTAACTGGAAAATGACTGAAAACAATATTGTTCTGGCTGACGAGTTCCGTGAATAACGTCATGAAATGTTAGTTACCAGACTTCTGCATCACTCCAAAATTTTGGCACAGGAGGCCCAAAACGGGACACTAAAATTTTTTTTTTCGAGTTTAACCCACCAAACATAATTCATGACAGTCTAAACTTTTATTTCAAACCAAAATAGCTGAACCCATATATGCAATTTAAGCTATCATATTGAAATTATAACGTTCGAATGTCTCATTTCTTAGACCAATACATTTTTGTTCTTAGTAATAACTTTGTCAATATCATCTTTATCACCGTCTCTTTCCGTCAAAAACGTGGAAGTTTATTTTCATCTGGCTCATAATTTTGCCAGGCTTGGATAAATATTTTCCAAATTTGTTTTCCAACTTGAATCGCTCGTCCAACAGCAAATAATTGCAAAAGTCGATGAACCCACAGACTGGCTCAACTCGTTAGTCTTCCAGTCCAAACGTGATGGTTCCCTAAGGCTCTGTCTTGACCCCAAGGATCTCAACCGAGCAATCAAACGCCAACACCATCGTACCCCAACACTTGACTAAGTTCTTTCAAAGCTAAATGTATCAGAGTTCTTCTCTATTGTCGATGCTCAAAGCGGCTATTAGAACATTAAGCTAGATCATGAAAGCTCACTTTATACTACCTTCTATTCACTCTTTGGGCGATACAGATTCCTCCGTCTACCATTTGGCCTCATCTGTGCTCAAGACATCTTCCAAAAGAAAGTAGACGAGGAATCACAGATGATATTATTGTCTATGGAATAAATTGTCAGGAACATGAAAACAGCCTTAAGGCTATAATGGAACGTGCTCGTGAAACTGGTCTAAAATTCAATGCTGACAAGTGCAAATTTGCCAGCGAGGAACTTATTTTCTCAAGAGCACCAAAATGCAGTAGAAGAGATAAAGAAGCTTATTGCATCCACAGCATCACTCCAATACTTCGACGGAACAAAGCCGGTTATTTTCCAGGTATGCGCATCTCAGCGTGGCTTCGGTGCTACACTTCTTCAAGAGAAAGGTCCAGTCGAATACCGAAGCAAACTCCTTACAGAGACTGAAAGACGATACTCCAATATATATAGAGAAATCTCGCAGTAGTTCACGGACTAGAGAAGTTTCACTACTATGTGTATGGTCGTCACGTGGTTGTCCAAACAGACCACAAACCGCTGGAGAAGTTCTTCAAGAAACATCTGTCAAGTGCGCCACCTCTCATTGCCCGGATGATGCCAAGAATCCAAAAATATGATGTTGATATCAAATATGTCCCTGGAAAGCACATACCTCTTGCTGATGCACTCTCACGACTCAACCCGCGTCATGGTGATGCAATCTGCGGCCTCGATGTTTCGATGCACGAACTACACAATCACCTCGATGCTACCCCAACAAGGATACAACAGATCCAAGAAGAGACCATGAATAACACCCAGCTTCATGCACTTCGTGCAGTCATTTCTCAAGAATAGCCTAATAAGAGATCTGAATTTCCTACAACCCTACACTATACACTCAGCTGGTAGAGCATCGGTAGTACAAATCCGAAGGTCCGACATCGTCATCCAACATCGAAAACATGGTCAAAGGATGTCCGGCATGTCAACACAATCAGCCAATGAACATTAAGGAACCGCCCATGCCTCATGACATTCCATCCAAGCCATGGCATACATTAGGATCTGATCTGTTCTTTTGGAATGGCTCACCATATCTACTCATCTCTGACTACTTCAGCAAATTTCCCATTGTGCGCAAGCTGAACAACATCCAGTCATCTACACTGTCAGCGAACACCTTAAAGGTATATTTGAAGAACATGAGAACCCATACAAACTAGTAACAGGACATGACACACAGCTTACCTCCGCTTTACTCAAAGACTTTAGCTGTGCATGTGGATTTGCTCATGTCACCACAACCCCATACTACAAACAGTCCAATGGCTTTATAGAGCGAACTGTACAAACTGTTAAGAATTTGTTACAGAAATGCACACCTTGCAATGCTATGTCCGCGAATTTATGAAGTTCTTGATTATTTTTCTCATAGTAATACAATGTTTTGAAGATTTATAACACACACAAGTTATTAAGTATACCAAAATAAACCCACTGAGCGCGAAAATAGTCGATACCTTTTTCGTGTAATACAAACCTTGTAGAGGAAGAAAATTCCCAAACTCAGCCAGATAATCCGCATTTAGGAACTTGGCAACTCTAGTCAATTCCTATATAATAAAGGACATATGTCTTCCTTATTTCATACTTGATTCAGTTTTCTTTGTTATTCATAGTGTTGTATCTCGCTTATTCCACAGCTCATTGTGTATTCAAGTGCTTTATATATCGAAGTTTCAGGGCAATATCTATATATTGCCCCCATTTGAGGGCAATATCTATATATTGCCCTTGAATACTATAGGAAAATTCATTGGATGACGAGCGAAGCGACGAGTGCGATATCGTTTTTTCGAGTGAAATTCATTGCGGAATTCCCGAGTCATCTAATGAATTTTTCTTGAATCTCATACCAACACTTATTATTTACAATTGGAAAATTTTTCGACAACGTGAACCTCGTCACGCGCCCTTCGGAAGCCATTTCGTAGCTGACTGTATGATTAGCCAATAGGAAACGATCACAAATTTATCTGTTAGTGAACGTTTCATCATTTCATTCACTAAGTTAGTTGGTAAGTTTACTGTTTTTCAATCCGGTGTTAACAAAACTTCTTATTTACTACGGCTAGAAAGCTAATTATGGACTGTTGACGCTAAAAATCGATGTATTTTACATCACATTATCGAAAACAAGCGAAGATATGTTATTCGCTGTGATTATAGCTGGTCAAAAGGGGATCCACAAGCGAAGAAAATACACTTRAAAWACTACAWTACATTTGTATTTGCAAGTCGYTGGTTTTACAATGATTACTACATAAATTTATAGGTAAGTAAGATATGTTATTCGCTGTGATTATAGCTGGTCAAAAGGGGATCCACAAGCGAAGAAAATACACTGAAAAATACTACAATACATTTGTATTTGCAAGTCGCTGGTTTTACAATGATTACTACATAAGTTTATAGGTAAGTAGTAAGCGATAATTGTTGTTTTCTTCGGCCATGGCGGTGTTTTCCGACGTTTGTTGTTGTTTTTTATCGAGACGACGACGCCTTGTAGAGGCAAGTGAAATATGTTTTTTGCGGCTCTTTTCGATGTTGAATAAATTGGCTTCGAAGTTTGGTATTTCGTATTCCCCCTCTGGTTGTTTTGGAAATTTGAAACTGGACATGTKAAAYAACAGTAGCTTAAAAAGCGAAGCGAGTAAAAAACAACAARGCGCGGGCTTCCTGACTTTTCATTGAATTCAGCTTTTCAATCCGCTAACAAATATTGGTCGTTTTTATAGAACAGCGATATTGTAACAAAGCCTGTATATCATTTTTGGTTTCTCTATGAAAAGAGTTTCTATTCTTGTTACTTTAAATTGTTATTTGTGAAAGAAATGAAAAGAAAATACGACAAAATCAAAATTCAATCGCGCGGGATCCCTGATTTTTCATTGAATTCAGCTTTGAAGCGTTGGATTCCGTGCTGAATCCTTCACTATGTACGTCACATTTTCGTCATCTCGGACCAATCAGCGCGCGATTTAATTATGTGATATGAGATTCTAATGTATATTGCCCTTGAATACCTAATTAACTACTACGTTCAACTTAGAAATTTTCCGTCTGAAACTTGAAAGAAAGAAAGAAAAATTCAATTGACACCAAGTAGATTCGCACCCACAACCTTAGCTTTGAAAATCCTATACTTAAAGTGCACATGACACCATTAGAAATTCATTCTCATCCAAAAGAGAAAATGCTGCTAAGTTCATCTGTGAAGAAAGAAATCGATTTCCGCTACGCGTCGTGGTTTCCTACGCTTCTCTCGTGCTCTCCCTACATCCCGCGTGTTTTGATCAGAGTATCAAACACGGAATTTCGTCTTTTATTCCTTAAATAAAGAACAACTTTTGCAAAAGTGCCGTCACTCATATATACCCCACTGAAATTATATAACGAGCAATTCAACACCAACCCCACATTTCCCTGCTGAATATCAAGTCCCTCCCCGGCTTAAGTTTCAATCGGTCTCTATCATGCATAAAACCCTGTGAATAACAAAGAAAACCTAGTGAATTGGAAACTAACATCCATTAAAGGGACACTGTCAATGGCACGCATGCGCGAGTAAACTTGAAAAGATTAGGCTAATGTTTTCAAGTTTACGACTCCAAGTTGGCGCGACGCATGACAAAAAAAGTACTCGTAAACGTAAACAGATCTAGAATATTCCAAAGTGTGTCAAAACATTGATTTACCTCGAAGGTAATACTTTTAAAGTCCGTTAGAGGCAAGACTGTTACTGCGCATGTCATCCACTGACAGTGTCCCTTTAAAAACTTTCATTTGATCACAGGCTCAGATCCGAAAACATTATTTCATTTGATCTAATATTACGCGCAGTTATTACGACATATTATTTGAGAAGCAATATTAAAAAATGATATCAAATGATCAAATTTACTTGTTTGATGCTCTCTTGTTCATCTTTCCGTTTTTCTTGACAAGGTTTAAACCGTTTTGGATTTAGTTTTGAAAAAATCATATAAATCAGCTTGATGGAGAGTGTAATGATGTTGAAAGGGACTGGTACCGGGTGGTAGTTGTAGTATGTCTTGATCAGACAAGCCTTTCTATAACACCACTCATCGTATGCATTCTCCTTAAAATAAACGACAATGTTTGATTAACTCAGTCTTCATTAAATATACTTTAAAAATAAATTTATGAGCATTGGTTTGATTTATTCTCGATCATTCCCTTGAGATAAAAATCAACTTCCTAAAGTACTTGACATAACAGCACAACGGTGCTCGAAGAGATAGTGTTTGTAACTTGCAGGTCATGATTATATTCAATCTGTGTGTGGGAAGCTTTGTGTATGGGTATTCAAGGGTATTTCTTTCCTTACCTCTACCAACTGATAAATATTTGATAAAAGGGCGATCAACATGTTCATGATCATCACAGCAGCAACAATAAGAAACAACATGTAAAAGGTTTTACTGATATAGTTTGGTACACTTGTTGTCAATGTTAGCAAATCTGGATCGCTAGAACCAACGGTAGACCATGCAAGGAACTCAAAAAAGTGCCACCAACTGAAAGGAATTAATGATAAAATTTGATGGCAGCTTTGGTGGCTACAATGATGGCAATGGCAAATCAAATTCAAAGTTAATATGAAAAAAAAAACACTACTGGAAGAAATTATCATCAATCTTATATAAACGTGTTTTTATGAAATCACGAAATGACCAATCATATATCATGCCGCAACTTGAATAAATACATAAATTGGTGATAATTATTAATACTTGTTGATTCTTCTGTGCCCTAATAATATTTTTATACTGTCTTTCATTTGTAAACAGAGCGCGCGCGTATTGTACAGTTTCCTCGAGCGCTTTCAGTTGATTAGATCATCACGTGTACTACAACCTTGAAAATGGCTGCTTAAGCCGAAAGCTCGGTTAAAAAATAAATCAATTTTGCACAGAAGAATCAACAAGTATTAATAATAATATGCCTGTGTACGACGAAATTCTCAAAATTGGTGATAGCTAATCGCCCTTCCTCGCAGCCCGAGTGCTGAATTACGGAAGGGGCGGCTCACATGATCGAGTCGGTTATGCGTTATACGAGGGCGCTATCATTATGAGGACAATCACATAGTTACAACACACACACAAAGCAGCCAACCAACCAACTCTCACCGCTCGACCACCCCTGCTTCCCACAAGTCATCAAACGTGCTAACAAATTACTTTGAATCATTTGATATCATCAATGATTTGAAACTCAGACAAACATATATGAGTGATAACACTTACCAAAGGATTCCATCAGATGATAAGCAAACCCTATTTCAAATTTGAAGTTG